CTCTCTCTCGAAGGTTCGTCTTTCCACCGAAGCTGCCCTGCCCTGCAGCAGCAGGAAGTGCCAGGAATTAGTGCCCTATGGAAGCATCCCCATCCCATGACAGGCTGGAGCTGGTATAAACCATGGCAACACCAGGGACTGAGTCCCAGTGGGTCGCAAGTGGTCATCTTGATGCCGGACCCCTCACCAGCGGCCTTCCCTGCCGACGTCACCTCCCCCACCCTACCAGAGTCTCCCAGGACCACCTCCTACGTAAACCACTTGAGCTTCCGTCTGTCTCATCTGCTTCTGGGGGACTCACACTAGAAAAACAAAATTAATTATTTTTTGCTATATGGAGTGGTGTGATTTGAAATCCTTCCATGGATAATGACTGCTTGCTTATGTCTTTAAAAACTTTTTTTTTTATTTTCTTGAGACAGAGTTTTGCTGTTGCCCAGGCTGGTCTCAAACTCCTAGGCTCAAGCGATCCTCCCATCTCAGCATCCTGAGGAGCTGGGACTACAGGTACCCACCATCACAGCTGACTCCAGCATCTTTGTTTTCTGAATATTGAGTCCAGACATGGAGTTAGACCACAGCAGGCACGTGGATTACACCCTCTAGCAAGAAGGACACCATTGACAGACATGTAGACTTAGGCTGTACCAGGCCTGTATACCAGGGGGTGCATTGTGAGTAGGTAGGTGTGTGTGCGGGTGTGAGACTGTGTGTGTGTGTGAGAGAGGGAGAGCATGTGGCAGTGTGTGTGTGCATGTGTGAGAGCATGTATAGGTGTGTGTAGGGGTGTGTGTGTGTGTGTGCATATGTGTGTGCATGTGTGAGATTGTGTGTAGATGTGTGCCCAGTCCTCACAGCAACCTTGCTGGCGAGTGCTCCTGTGGTCCTCCTTTTACGAACAAAGAAACAGAGGTTAGGCCCTTTCCGGAAGGCTGGTGACCCACGAGCCCCGTGTCACACTTCTCGGTCTGCCTGGGGCCCTTGCTCTCAGCCTGGACACTTGGCTCCTAGTGAACAAGTCATGTCAGAGAGAACCCGTCTGGTGCCCCGTCTCCAGGATACATGTGTCCCTTTGTACATATATTTAAAAATTCATTTTGAAAGAACGCAAAAGCTCCACTGCCCTCCTTCGCATCTGTGATTTCTTGATTTTCAAACACTGAAAGGCTCATTTTGCTCCTGGAGAGATTCTGCTCCGTGCCTCTGCCATGCTTGGGTTGGGAGTGAAAGTTTTCCTGACTTATTCGGGACACTGTCCTCAAATATTTCAGATGTTGGGTGTCTGTGAAGGCCCCATGGTTATGAGCCATGGGAAGAGGCTTCATGTGACTCAGTGACCGGAGAGTTTGTGGGTGGAATTGGGGGGTGCTGAGCTTGGAAGGGGAAGTCGCATGGGGCTGGGGCTCTTGGGAGCAGAAATGAATGATGGGGCCCACGTCTGCCAGGACAGAGCCCCCCACCTCGAGGGCTACATTCCCAGGGCTACAGGTCCATGGTCCACCCATCACAAGGCGGCCAGGACATTGGATGGATAAGGCAGATGAATGGACCAACAGCCCAGGCAGGGATGCAGGGAAACCCACAGTTACCCATGCCAGGCCCTCCAAGTGGGCAGGAACGTACTTCCCAGCTTCTCATGTGCCTACCTCCTGCCAGCATCATCCCTGCACCCACGCTCAGCGCTCTGCAGTCCAATCTCTGTCTTTCCCAAGGAGACTCTCCCCACTGCTTAGATGTATCAAAAATCCTTCTCCACCAGGTAAATATTTTTACTATTTATTTATTTTTTCCTCTTTTTACAAATAGAGATGAAGTAACGCTATGTTTCCCAGGCTGGTCTCGAACATTGGCCTCAAGTGTCCTTTCTCCTCGGCCTCCCAAAATGTTTACAGATGTGAGCCACTGCACCCAGCCAATTTCATATATATGTATTTTTTTTTTAACTTTTTAAGTTTATAGCAAATAAGCAACCAATCTTGAATTTGTACACACATCCTAACCTTTCTGGAATCTGCATGGTAGCACTGGGTGAGGGAGATGGCTTACTGCTCACCCATCTTTGTGGGGTGAGGTCTGCCCTGTCCTCCACATGTGGCCTGTGGACACCCAAGCTGACTCCACCTCGGCTCGCCTGGGCCCTGCTGGCCTGGCTCACTTCAGGACCAGCCTGTAGTCTAAGCCAAGAATCACGTCCAGGTGGGAGAGGAGGAGGTGAGGATGCTGGTCTGGGCAGGAGGCGGGCAGCGGTTACTTGGTGCGGCCCTGGGGAGAGGCGGTCACTTTGCAGGCTCAACCCCCGGGAGGCCTGTCCAGCTTGGGTTTGTGGCTCCTGGGGCGTGTTTATCACTGCGGTGCAGTGGCCTCTCCTCCCTCGCTGGGGTTGGCCTCCTCATGTCCCAGCAGCCCCAGTGTCTGTACAGACCATGGCCCCTGAACAAACCATGGGAAGGCCAGGGTGGGGCCGAGGATCTCGGAGACCGGGGCTGGCTCTGCCTTGCTCTGGGGGTGATGATGGAGGCACCAGTGCCCCTCTCTCCAGCGCTGCCACTGAACCCAGGCTGCTAAAGTGGGGCCGCTCGGAGGATCCCTCTGAGACCCCTGGGACAGGAGCCCTGCAGTGGCCCCACTGCTGCAGCTCTGATGCTGTGTCCCCACTCCTGTCCCCCCCAGTGGCTTTCCAAACGCTCCTGCCCAGGGCCCTGCCTGTCCTAAGCTGAACCTGAGACCTGAGGGTGGCTCTACAGGAGGCCCCTCCAGGACATCACGTGGCCCCGCAGGCCTGTTTGACGTCATGCCTCTCGTGGTTTGACGCTTGCTAGGTCCAACGTCTCCCCAGCTTCCCTTGTGACTCCCCCTCCCAGCAGGCCTCCCAGGGAGCCGGTACAAGTCCCTCCATCCCCACAGAGAGGCCTGCCCAGAGCTGGGGGAGAAGCTCTTTATTTGGAGTCAGGCGGGTGGGAGCAGGGAAGGGTCATGGCTGGAGGGTAGGTCCAGGCGGTCCGGGCTCCGTGTCTGGCAGCAGGGTGGACTCTGGGTGCAGACTAGGGGCTGCTGTGCTAGGAAGAGCAGAGGTTAGGGAGGCTATAGGGTAGGGCAGAGGCCAGGCCCAGAGCTCCCTCCCCAGGCTCTGCAGCCCCCACATCAGCCACTGCTGGGCAGCCTTGGGGCTCCAGAGTGACCTCAGCTCCTCCAATGACCGGGCAGGCCTCTGAGCATCCTCAGTGAGTGGACTGGGGGAAGACGACTGAGTGGGGACAGATGCAGGGGGCGATGGGCCGAGCTGACACCTGAGGGAGCCCAAGGGAGGCCTCGCTGTGGAAGGGCCGAGGAGGACGCTCACTCGGGCTGGCAGGCGCAGGAATAGGTGAAACGAAGGACTTCCCAAATGTCCCAGGAATTGTGGGTGGGCAGACTCTGAGGTGCCAACCTCGTGCCTGCCCCCGGGGGATCTCCCTGCTTGTGTGGGATAGCAGGGGCCAGAGCAGATGGACCCTTGAACCCTGGGAACCCAGGACTATGGGCTTGTCCAGTGTCCTCCCAAAGCCTCACTCACCCTAGTGTTCGGGAACGCAGCTTCCTGCAGAGACCAAGAAAAACCCAGGGATGAGAAGATGCCCTGGACCAGGGTCCGGACCCCATCACAGCCCAGGGCTCAGACCCTCCAACAACGAGGATCCTAAGCAGGGCCTGGACCCCATCACAGCCCAGCGCTCAGACCCTCCAACAACGAGGATCCTAAGCAGGGCCTGGGAGCCCATCACAGCCCAGAGCTCAGACCCTCCAAAGATGAGGACCCTAAGCAGGGCCCGGATCCCATCACAGTCCAGAGTTCAGACTCTTCAATGACAAGAACCCTAAGCAGGGCCCAGGAGTCCCTGTGAGGAGACTCAGGGCACACGGGGAGTGCGGGGTACATGGGAGGACACAGGGGTCATGGGACACTGGAGGTCACAGAGAGACACGGGGAAAACACAGGGGACTGGGCACAGCTGTCCTCTTACTTGTCTGTAGGGGCATGAAAATGTCCTCCTCCGAGAGTCTCTTGTGCTGCACGAATTTCTTAAATTCTTCCAGGGCCTCCATGTTGATGTCAGGATTCCTACCTGCAGGTGAGGTGGCTACAGGTGAGCCGAGGTGGGGACAGCGACATGGCCCTGCAGGGAGCAGATGCTGAAAGAAGACAGCCACGGCCCAGCACCAGGACAGGGGGAGAAGCCCGAGAGTGGACCAGAGTTCAGGGGTGGGGCTGGGAACAGAGGAGACGGCCACCGCCCAGCACCGGACAAGGGGGAGGGGAGGCCCGAGACTGGACGGGAGTTCCGGAGTGGGACTGGGGGACAGAAAAGACGGCCACTGCCCAGCACCAGGACAGGGGGAGAGGCCCAAGAGTGAACCAGAGCTCTGGGGTGGGGCTGGGGACAGAGCAGATGGCCACCACCCAGGTGAGAGGTCCCCAGGAAGGGGGACAGTGGCGGGGACTCTCCAAGTCACTCAGCAACCCCAGGGGACCTCGGCAGCTCCCAAAGCCATGCTGCAGGGTCACAGCCCTCACCTGGAGGGACCTTGTGTCCCAGAGGCACTGGCCACCCTCCCGGCCTGGAGGCTCCCTGCGCCGTGAAGAGCCTTGTTAGGATGCTACCTCTCCCTTCAGGTGACCCTCCTACACTGGAGACCCCAGAAGCGGTCCTTGGCAGGTTCATGTCACCGAGGCTGAGTCTGTCCCTGCCTGGCCCACCCCATTCTCACTTCAGGTACTTGGACCGCCTGCCCAGCGGTGCGCGGCACATGAAGGCCGGCGCAGGGGGCTTCGTCTTCCCCCCGTGCCAGGGTGTGGTGATGCTGGTTCCACTGGCTTCTGGAGGCAGAGACCGTGGGGCAGGACACGCAGGCCCCAGCGGGCCCCTCACCCATGAGCTTTCCCACGTGGAACAGGCCCCCACGGCGCTGGTCTTTGCAGTAAAAGACGAAGTGGTCCCTCCCGGGCAAGCTCCTGCACATATATGAGCTTCCTGCCTCCATCTGTAGATGACAGAGAAGATGGGTCATTCACAGAGAGAGCACTCAGGACCACACGAAGAAACACTCAGGAATGTCTCAGTGGTCACCCAGGTGCCCTGGACACACCTGGTGTCTGACGTCAGGGCCACTAGCCTCCGGGGAAGGACGGGCCAGCCCCTCCTTGGAGGTGGGCAAGGCTGGGACCCTGGCAAAAGGGCAGCCCGGGCACTGTCTGCCGGTGCTGGGGCTGGTGCAGCTGGGGTTGATGGTGGGGGAGGGTGGGGTGGGGTGGGGGAGGGGCTCACAGGCACTGAATTTGCCGGGCTCCTCCATTTTCCACATCAGGATTTTCTTCTGGACGCACCGATTCTCCCTCCTGGAAAACAGGAGACACGCGGGCAGCGGCTCCCAGGACACACCTGGGCCATCCTCAGCTCACCTGGTGCATGGCCTTGACCTGGCGCCTGAAAATTCCACTGCTCTCCCCCACCCCACCGAGCTTTAGCATGCCCGGGATGTTTCCCTCCAAGGCAGGGGGTGATTCTTACCAACACCCAAAACCAGGATGGGGCAATGGGCACCAGGTGCATCTGGGGAGGGGAGATAGTGGCCTGAGGGGCCCCGCAGTGGGCAACACTCACATGAAGGTGAACGTGGCTTCCAAGTCCCCACCGCCCAGGGCTGTCACCTTCGCTGGGGACACCTTCCTGGGCTTCCTGTCCTCCGGAAAGTCCTTATCGACCACCATGGCCTTCACATACATCCTCCCCTCCTCCTCCTCCTCCTCCTCCTCCTCCTCCTTCTTCTTCTTCTGACACAGTCTTGCTCTGTCACCCAGGCTGGAGTGCAGTAGCACAATCTCGACTCATTGCAACCTCCACCTCCCAGGTTCAAGCGAGTCTCCTGTCTCTGCCTCCCGAGTAGCTGGGATTACAGGTGCACACCACCATACCCTGCTACAGGCTACCCTTTCAAGACTCATTATATAGCTAGCAGATGGACAGATGCATAGATCAATGGGACAGACAATAAAGAATCCTCAAACAGACCTGCACACATATACTCAATTAAGTTTTTACAAAGATGCAAAAGCAATTCAATGAAAGATAGCTTTTGTAGCAAATGGGCTGGAGCAACTGGACATCCACAGACAAAACCACCAAACAAAAAGAAGAACCACAACCTACGTCTCACACCCTGTATGAAAATTAACTCAAAATGGATCATAGACTTAAACATAAAACTTAAAACTATAAAAGCTTTAGAAAACAAAAAGAAAACCTTTGGGATATGGAGCTGGGTCAGGAGGTTTTAGATTTGTCACCAAAAATATGATCCATAAAAGGAAAAATTGTTAAAATAGACTTCATCAAAATAAAAACCTTTTGCTCTGTAAGAGACCCTGTTAAGAGGATAAAAAGAGAAGGTAAAGACTGGAAGAAAATATTGACAGACTACATATTCAACAAAGAATTAGTTTCTATACTTTATAAAGAATTTTTCAAAACTCAACAGTTTCAAAAATAGAATGTAGACAAAAGATGTGAAGGGACACTTGACTAGAGAGATGTAGATGGCAAATAAACACATGAAAAGATGCTCAACGCCATTAGTCATCAGTGAAATGCAAATAAAAGCCATGATATATCAGTACATACCTATCAAGGTGGCTGAGATAAGATCATAGTGATCACACTGAAGCTGGTGAGGATGCATGGAAACTGGACAGCTTCTGAAAAATGGCTTGACAGGTTAAAACAAAACAAAACAAAAACAAGCTAACCCTGCAACAAGCATAGAACCCAGCAATAGAACCCCTGGGACTTTGTCCCAGAGAAATGAAAACTGATGTCAATGCAAAAACCTGTACATGTGTCATAGCCCAAATCTATAAACACAGACGTCCTCCAACAGGTGAATGGTTAAACAGACTGTGGTACATACATACCACGGAGCACTACTCAGAAGTAAAAAGGGATAAACTACTGATAAATGCAACAATGGGATGACTCTCCAGAGAATGATGCCGCTGCATGGGGAAAAAAAAGCCAATAATCCCACAATTTTATGATTGCAATAGATGACATTCTTGAAATGAGCAGATTGCAGTAGTGGATAACAGGTCTGTCATTGCTGGGGTTGGGGCTGGAGCAAGCCAGGTGAAGATACACATGATAGCTCTGTGTGGCTTTTTACAACTGCCTGGGAATCTATAGTGTCTCAAGATTAAATGTTTATTTTAAAAACCACAATGAGCATAAACGCTTTAAAAAAAAAAAAAAAAAGAAAAACTTAGAGCCAAAGACTCAGCAACTCCACTCAGAAGCATCATTTCAACAGATACACTCCCACATATGAATCAGTAGATGGGTTCAATCCTTACTTACAAACCTTGGAAATGCCTCAAATATCCATCAAAATAACAATGATAAAGGTTCATTTTTATGTTTGATTTTTGCAGACTTTCTAGATACCTCTCATTCTTTGGGCACAAGGAATACATCAGTGAATAAAACAAATGTCCTGCACTTGTGTGCTCATATTCTAGGTGCAGGGGACATAAAACGAACAAAATAAATAAGTGAATTGTGGTGCCAGCTATCAATGTCTTGCCTCCAGCTCCACATGCACCCTTCATGGCCGGTTCCGAGGTAATGGAGCTGGAGCCAGCAGGCGCTTTTCTTGTGCACCTGGCGTGATGCTAAGCTTTGTTAGTAGAGGCATAGGGGAAAGTGCCTCCCAGGCTGGGTCCAGGATGCCTGGTTCTAGGATGCTTTCATTTCTCTCTTTTTCTTTCTCTTACTATACAGATGACAGTGGCACAAGTCAGGAACATCTGGCGGCACCCACCACATTGAATTCAGGGGACCCCCCAGATGGCTTCCTATGGAGATTCAGTGGCATTCGCACATGTGGGATCCCAGTGACTTTTGTAGGCTTCCCAGCCCCAGCCCACCTGCCTTGGGAGAGAAGAGAGGCTTCCTGCTTGCCAGACGCAGACTGCATTTCCCTGCCTGCTGGCCTCTGCCCTGACCATGGGTCAGCTGTGGCCGGGGCAACCCAGCAAACTTCTCTAGCATCCCTTGGGAGAACCATGCCTTTTCCCATGAGATCTGAACCCAGCCTTGTGGAAGGATCCCCGCCCCCATTTATGTCTTCCTTAACTGCCCTCCTGCAATCCTGAGCCGTTCTTTATGGTTCTCTTTAAACCTCTATAGCTGATTGTTCATTGTGCAAGCAATCCCTGTTCAATCTATTGTCTCTGGATCCTATGGGTCACTGGTTCATAGAATTATATATTATTTTAAATGGAAATCAGTGTTATGGAAAAAGCAAAGTGGAAAGTTGGACAGGGAGTGCTGGGACAAGGGGTTATTGGTCCTTTAAATGAAATGATGAGGAACAGCCTCGCCAAGATGGCATTCAAACATCGAATTTAAGACCTGAAGGAAGCAAGTTACGAGCTCGTCAGCTGGAAGAGGAGTCCAGGTGGCAGGAGCATCCAGTGCCAGCCTGGAGGTAGGAGAGCACTGGCAGTTTCCAGGAACACATGGCAGAGCGGCCACAGCAAATGATCCAGGGAGACTGGCCATATGTGAACCTGGGGAGAGGGCGGAACTGCTGTGAAGGGCATGAGGACCACGACGAGGACTTCAGCTTGTACTCTGAGTGAAGGACCCTGGGGAGCTCTGACAAAGGCAAAGCTCGACTTCCGTATTTAAGGGGTCTCTCCAGTTGCTGCACTGAGCACAGATTTGGGGGTCAATATAGAAGCAGAGAAAACAGTTAGAAAAGGCGTGGCAATAACCCAGGATATTTGGGGGCCGAATACAGAAGCAAAGAAAGCAGTCAGAAAGACACGGCAATAACCCAGGAGGGCGCATTGATTTCTACCTGGGCATCCAGGAGAACAGGGGATGGACCTAACTGTCCCACCACAAACAGACGGAAACTGGCCCCCAGGTGCGAAACGCTTGTGTTCAGACACCGAACTCAGACAGCGCAGGCTGTGATCTCTGAGAGTGGGAGCTAACGAGCTCAGCTGGATCATGGCAGCTTTACGCCTGTAGGGAATTTCAAGCCAGCACAGAGAGAGGAACCCAACAGAGCAAGGAGTCAGACGGTGTGGGCAGAATGCAGGTTGGACTCTGGGCATTGCAGACGACTAGAATGTGGGAGACAAGGAAGCAGACAGGAGAGTGCTGTGCAGAGGAAGAGCTCCCGAAACGTGCAGAGGGGTCCTCAAGACTGTAGCTAAATACTGGTCTATGCAGGCAGAGGGTGGAACACCACAGGGCCAGAGAAAATGATGTTTGGGTAAAGAAGGATTCCAAGGAAGTGAAGAAAATCAACACCCCACAAACACAGGTACAAAAACGAGTTGAGACGCCAAGACAAGAACAGTCTTCAACAAATGGCTCTGGGACAACTGGATGTCTACACGCAAAAGAATGAGGTGAGACCTCACACCACACACAAGCTTTCACCAAAAATGGATCAAAGACCTAAACATAAGAGCTAAAACTGTACAACTCTAAGAGAAGATATGTAAATCTCTGTGACTTTGGCTTTGACAATGAATTCTTCTCGATACACCCAAATAGCATGCAACCAAAGGAATAGACAAGTTGGACTTCATCAAAATTAAAAACTTTTGTACATTGACGGACACTATGAAGGGAATGAAAAGACAAGATACAGAGCGTGAGAAAATACTTGCAAATCACATATCTGATAAGAGTCTAGTATCAACAATATATGAAGTACACTTATAACTCAACATAAAAACACAAATTGCCCAATTTTAAAAAGGGAAATTACTTGAATAGACTTTCTTCAGAGAAGATATAAAAATGACCAATAAGCATATGAAAATATCCTTAATGTTATTAGTCATTAGGGAAATGCAAATCAAAATTACAGTTAAATACTACTTCATATTCATTAGGATGGCTAGAGTCACAAAGCCAGATAATAACAAGGGTTGACAAGGATGTGGAGCAATTAGAACCCTCATGCACCACTGGTGGGAATGTAAAATGGCACAGCTGCTCAGAAAAACATAGTTTGGCAGCTTATCCAACAGTTACACATAGAATTATTCAATACCATATGACCCAGCAATTCCACTCCCAGGTATACACCCAGGACAAATGAAAACATATGTTCCCACGAAAATATTTATGCACAAATGTCCCTAGCAACATTACAAAACCCAAGAAGTGTAAACAATGCAAATGTCTACCAATGGATGAATGGATAAAAAAGGTGGTATTATCCACACAATGAAATATGATTCTGTCATAAAAAGAAATAAAATACCGACACATGCTACCACGTGAGCAAACTTTGAAACATTACGCTAAGGGAAAGAAA